GTAAAGAGGGTATCTAGTGGACTTTGTTTCAAGAGGATGACCCAAAGGTTAAGTCTAGGTAAAATAGGCGTCAAGCCGAACATGGGCCTTTAGGCCGGATATGTGAAAAAGGGGCTATGGGTCGGATAAGTTATGAAATTCCTGTGGATTCGAAAATGGTTCAATTGAACATGTAGTATTCATATGAAAAGAATATGAAATTGTTATGAGCATGAAATAAACAAGTGAAAAGAATGAAAAAATTCATTCAACTATTATTTCTGAGGAGTTTTTGTTTCTTCATCTTCTGAAAAAATATTGGTGAACTACTCCCTGTGATTATCAGCGATCCCTCTAACAAGAAAAGATACGCGTTGTGTACATGTACAGCCACAGTAGCGTAGTACAACCATGGTCATAGCTTATATGGGGAAATAAAATGAGAATTGCGTGTGAATGGGTCAGTGATTCATAGCGGTAACTAGGGATCCCTTCTGCTCTCAGTAGATGTATGTTGTAATGGTTTCGCACGAAGGTCAATAAAAGAACTTAATAAAACCTAGTTACAGATATGGGTAGTAATGATAATTCGTATGATAATTCTTTTGTTTACTGAGTATGTTGCTCGTACTAATTAAATCTTTATGATGATTTGTACAATGGTTCTTCTGTTTACTGAGTATGTTGCTCGTACTAGTTAAATCTCTATAATGAGTTCTATGATTGTTCTTCTTTTTACTGAGTATACTGCTATGTTAGTTGAATCTCTACGATGATTTGTACGATGGTTCTTCTATATGTTGTTCGTACTAGTTAAATCTTTATGATGATTTGTATGATGGTTTTCTTGTTTATTGAGTATGCTGCTCGTACTAGTTAAATCTCTATGATGATTTGTATGATGTTTTTTTTATTTACTGAGTATGTTACTCGTACTAGTTGAATCTCTATGACAATTTGTATGATGGTTCTTTTGTATGTTGCTCATAGTAATTAAATATTTATGATGATTTATATGATGATTCTTCTGTTTACTGAGTATGTTGCTCGTACTAGTTGAATCTCTATGACGATTTGTATGATAGTTCTTCTATTTATTGAGTATGTTGCTCGTACTAGTTGAATCTCTATGATGATTTATACGATGGTTCTTTTATTTACTAAGTATGCTACTCATACTAGTTGAATCTCTACGATGATTTTTACGATATTTTTTTTTGTTTGCTAAGTATGTTACTTGTACTAGTTGAACTCTATGACAATTTGTATGATGGTTCTTTTGCATGTTGCTCATACTAATTGAATATTTATGACGATTTGTATGATGGTTCTTCTGTTTATTAAGTATGTTATTCGTATTAGTTGAATATTTATGATGATTTGTACTATGGTTTTTTTATTTATTGAGTATGCTGCTCGTACTAATTGAATCTCTATGATGATTTGTATGATGATTCTTCTATTACTGGTATGTTACTTGTACTATTTAAATCTTCATGATGATTTATATGATGGTTCTTCTATTTATGGAGTGTGTTATTTGTTTGATTTCTATTGAATATTTGATAAGTTTGGGTAACCAATTGAGATATAACACGCATGCTTAGATGTTAAATATTGGTTATGTAATATTTCACTAGATTTCCTTAATAAAGACAAAAAAGTTTTTTAAATAATTAAATATCTTCATCCCATAATGGTTGTTCGAGGTAAAAGGTGCATAAAGTACTACTCAAATTGTTTATTTTTTAAACCTTAGCCGTGTTGTTTAAATACTGATTCCCTTACTAAGTTTACATCGAACTCACTCCTAATCTGTGCCCCCCAGATGATGTGGAAGTTGAGCTCCGAGTTGTCTCTTGAAGTTTGTTTAGAACCATTCACAAATCCTTAGTAATTCTTTGGGACATAATTCGAGTGCAATAGATATCGCGCACTCTAATGTAAAATTCTGTAAGAACCCCACTTTTGTATTTAATTATTTAAGATTGTCAAATTATGGCCTTTGATGCAAGTCCTTAATACTTAATTTGTTCTGGAAAGTATTTTTATTTCCATTTCAATGTCAAAAATTATTTTTATCACTCGTTATTACTTAAATAGTTGGCTTCCTTCTATTTATTAGGTATCTGAGATATTACAATCGATATTTACATTATAGAAAATACATGCAAGGAAAATTTTGTATGTATGTTCAAGACTTGAAAAGGAGTCAGAACGTTACAAGCAAGATATTAGTAGTTGAATATATTGATATTGAACTAGTGATTGTTGATCCTCTGATGAAAAGACACCACCAATGAGTTTTAAGGATCATATAAAAAAAATGAGACTTGGTTCCATGATATGATTTTTATTGCATGTACATTTGTGATTTTAATGAAATTCTTATTTAATTGTGATGCTTTCTCATTTTTAGTTATTCATTAAGTTTTGTTACTCAATATAGGTTGACATTCAAGAAACATAACGTATTGTGCTATATATAAAGTAATACTCATGTTTAGAGGATTTGGTATAATGATTTATATGTTTGTTAATTAAATAAAAATTTTGATAAATATCTATATTATTTTGAAGTAAGACATGCTGATCAAGTGAGAGAATGAAAAGGGCAACCATTTGTTGTAATCCCTTCTAATGAATAGTAACAATTAGTTGGTCAACATCAAAAGTTACTACGAGGTAATAGTCATCTTTGGGGAAAGGGTTTTTATCCATACACAGAGGCATGGTATTGGAGTGCGATTCTAGCAATTTCTTCATAAAAATATATTGCCTATACATACTGCAATCTTCAAGTGTGCATCAATAGCTTGAGGCCGATTTTCTGCTTTCATTAATATTCCGCATGCATTTGATATTGATATGCAATAAAGATATTACATGATTTCATATTATTTTATTTTGCAAAATTTCTAACATTAAATAATAAGGGATTAATACAAATGTGTCACAGTTTTAAAAATATCGTCTGTTAAAGCAAATGTTAAAGTGTCACATCAAGCTGCTGAGATCTCTTTTCAGATGCATCAAACTTTTTTTTTTTTAAAGAAATGCACCAAACTATTAAAAGTGAAAATGTAATTTAAATAAATAAAAAAAAATTTTAAATACTAAACTAGTCTACTTTACTATTATTTTCAAAGTACAATTTCATTCCTAATAACTACATTTTTTGATGTATTAAACATATATGGATTTAGAAAATAAAAGCTTAAACAAGTAAACAGAACCCAACTATTTTCCCCGATTGCTGTTGCTCTACACCATGACAAACTTTAATCACCTCCAAGTTCAGATTTAACCTTGCAATTGATTTCTTCAGATCCATGTTACCAATATTTAACTGATTAAGAAATTTATGTAACTTCCAGCAAAAACAGAGAAATTTTTATATATGTACTGCATGCATGTAAAGACCCACAAGAGTATACAATCAAACCTAGTTTATCTCTGCTTCCTGAGCTGCTCTAGATCTTTTAATTGTTTTTTCAATACTGCATGTTGATGCCACATTCTCTCCAACCGCGCCTCGACCATGACCATCTCATCCTTAAAGTAGTGAATCCGCTTTTCCAACCACGCCATGGCTTCTGATGATCTTTCGCTAGCCCCACCACCCATGTAGTCAGCTGGCGAAACCACATGGATATGTTGAGGTCTGTTTAATAGCACAACTATACTCACCTACAATGGAGAAAGCCACTGTAACTCATGTCTTGTATCATGAGAAAGCTGACAAATTAGTTGAAAGTTATAGCATTCATCAATCTGCAAGATCGGAGAAAGTGAATCTACATGAAAAGTTATCAAGCAACCATAGACTTGGATATCTAGGAGGTTGTGGAAATTAGAAGCAATAATTCAAGTCGATCGATTACGATAAAAAATTCAAGTCAATCGATTTAGGCACTGAATAAGCTCTTTGAATGTCCCAATGCCATTAATAACATTACATTGCATTCTGTTCAAATCCATTCTTATTGGATATAGAATTGACTTAAAATTAGAATGTCTATCATTCAAATTTCTATTCCTTTGTATATACCTACGTTCTTATTTCATAAAATTAAGATTTGAATCAAATTCAAGTGGCATGCCCCTTCCCTCCTTTATTAACAATGATGTGTTCAAGCTTACCTCCCTCACAATACTACTGTCTACATCTTTTACTTCCCTCAGCTGTGCACCCCTCCTTGTCTAATGGGTGTGATACGAACCAGCAAAAAAGAAAGGAGCTCTTTTGATGAAAAGGAGATGGATGATATAATACTACAGCCAGGTGTCAACATTGGAACAATTTGACATACTAAATAAAAGAAAGGACCAATTTGACTTGTCTTAGTCTTTTTTTGGGGTAACAAAGAGAAAATCTTGGAAAACTTTTAGTATAGAATATGATCAAACTTCAAATTAATTGAGAGGCAGTGTGAAGAAAACAATGAAAATTTCAGAAAACAATAGTGAAATTGGCTGGCGCCTATGAGATTTTAAGAATATATTTACTGCTATCAAAATAAGAAGAGCAATTAATAAATACCATATAGAAGAGCTAAGCAACCACATCCCGTAAAAAGTTGGTGAGCTGAACAAACATGAATAAAGGCTACTAAGCAGGAAAATTAATTGATAGTTGTTTACCTGCATAAGTAAGATTACTGCAAAAGCAATAGCTAACACCAGCGAAATGTGGCTTTGACTTTTTACTAACGAATAGAATTTCAGCAAATATTCTCCCAAAAAAGATGAGAGTGGTGAAGTGCTAATCCAACTTCCTTGCAAGAGACCGCGTACTTGTTGGTTAGCAGTCACAGAATCAGACATTTTTAGTCTCTTTGTGTGATCTTCCTGTGATCTTTGGGAAGTTTCCACGGTCTCCGTTGGCCTTTCAATTTGAGTTTCTGTATTCTGAATTGAGTTAGCAGTTGAACTGATTTCTGTGTTAAAGAAATCAAGATATTGTGTCAGTCACATGGCTTGAAGAATAGGATACCAAACACTGGAGAAATGTATCTAAATAAAGATTGAACCTTCTCTTTTCTCGATTTTCTTCTGCTTCAAAAATTCATGCGCCTGCATAAAAAGTAAATGTTCTTATGTGGATGCTTGATCTAAGATAAACTGAAAGTTGAACAGAAACTGAGAAGATGAAGTTAATACCATTTCTATCCATAATGCATAAGCTTCTCGGCATTCTTCCAAAGTAGACTGCACAATTTTTCCTTTTTTCACAAAGAAATACTAGCCTTTAGTTCAAGTAACATGCAAAACATAAAGTAGATTGACTGAAAATATAAAGAACAAAGGAAAAAGAAAAAGGACAAACAATCAGAATAAATGCCAAATCGTAAACTTGAAGCAAACTGGAGACTCAAATAGCTCAAGAAGGAATTCAAATCATTGAACTCTTTCTTTCTTTGAGGGAGAGCGAAAAGCAAAGTATTGAACTCAAGTCCCCGATTTTAAATGTTTCAGCCAGGAAAGCTACCTCATTTTGCTATGCAGTAAAAACTAAGATTCTTTTCCCACATCCACCCACTTGCCATATCTTGGCCCTTGGATCATTAGAATTAGATGGCAACAAACCAAAGCAATACAAGTCTCTATTCTACGATTGGGACTAAATTTAACTAAAGAAATTTCTTAATTGTTGGAGAAAATAAACTATGGCGAAGCCATAGAGGTTCTTAAAAGGATAACAGAATGATGTTAACAAAGTGTGATAATTAATCAAAAGAGCTCAGAGGATATAAATCATAAAATAAATGAAAACCTTTCCACACAGTTCTTTTTGTAAATGCCACATTGATGTAAACTCGCAAAATGCAGCATTTCTCTGAGTCATTGGTATCCCCTTGTACATCCCAAAGTCCCTGTATTGCGCATTAGGAAAACAGATACAGCTATGCCATGTCAAAACATATGTATGTCAAACACAAATATCATAAGGACACTACTATAGTCAGAGAAAAGAGGTTCAAAGAATCAATAATAATAATAGACAGCCAAAGGATTCAGATGACATTTCAACTATTATATGACTATATTGCTGGTAGTGAAAAATGTATATTTCTGAATGGTAAACTGGAGGTAAATCTTTCTGATTTGCTAATGGAACACATACATCCATCGAAATTGAATTCCACATGCCAGTCTCCCACATCTTAAGAGAGTGAATGCCTCAAATCCAAAGGCCACCAGAAGAATATTGGAATTCAATAGAACCTAAGACAAGTTTCGCTACTAGCAGCTTGTTGTGATTGAGAGGACCATTTAGGTGTACATATAGCTATGATTGAGGTAGTTGAAAATATTTAATCACTCATAAATATGTAAGCTACTATTAATATAATACCTCCACTTGAAAATAATCTCCATAAGGCACATCATTGATTTCTTGTGATGTCTCAATAACCAAATGGCTGGCACATGAAAGTTAAAATGTCAGCATATATAACAAACAACCTATGTCAGAGCATTTCATAGGAGAACAATACAAAAAATGGAAAAAAAGAAAATGGAACTCACATCGAGAAACTGATCGGAAGCTGGTTAAAACAAAAATTTTTGAGTTGAAATTTCGGTAAAAAAAGAATCCTGTTTCTCCTTTTTGATACTCTAACTGCCTCTCATTTTCTTTTGCTTTGAGGAAGAGAATCTCTTTTTTTTTTTCTATTTGCAAGGTATGGAAATTGAATCTCACATTGAAAGCATCAAACTATAGTATGGAGTTTCTGTAGGTTTTAGGACTCTCCAATCTCAATAGCTAATTTTGAGGTGTGATTTTCCTAAAACAAATATCAGTAGTATCAAAGCAATCCACCATATTTTCCTTCGAAATGTACTCGGTGTGGTTGGTGCCACTGGAAAGGTAATGTTTGTACAAGCTACAAAAGCAGAGTGAATTATTGTATGCTAATTGTAAGCTATAAGACTTGACTCCCATATTGAAAGTATAAAATTTTGATGTTGAAGTTCTCAATTTGGGCTCTGTGACCTCAATAGCTAACACTTTATGTGCAGTTCTACTAGGGAAAAATAATAACAGACTCTTTTCATAAAAGATCTATGCAAAACATGCACATCACAAGATTTAATGACCAATAATTAGTGAAGAATATGATAT